CTGAGAGCCTCATGTTCTCCTCCCCGAGGCGTGCGGCCTCCCTCTGTTTGCTCACCCAGACTTACAAGCACACACCCTGCGTTTAGAGCAAGCGTTAATGTCTGCGCTCCCTCATAAATCTCAGCAGTGCCTCGAGCTACGTTTTTAATTTGGTGGTGGAGCTTTGAGATTTAAGAAGGGTGGCAGGGAGGGCTGCTGAAGAGGGAATAATGGAAGTTGCTATTTCTTCTTCTGAGGAGCGACTCATCCCTCCTTCAGTTCTGCTAACAGATTGTTTGGTGCCTTAACAAGAATCTTGGAAGGCCAGGGTGGAAGGCAAGCACCAGGGTGAAGAAGCGGGCTGTGTGGGCCTTGAATGGAAAGACAGACGCATGGGCATGGCTTCTCCTTCAGGAAGGAAGAATGCGTGGAATGAGCAAATTGACCCAGACTCATGACCAGCTGGCATATTTTCTAGTTCAACTAAAAATGACTTCAAGGAGAATTGTTCTTTCTGACAGAAATAATTTCTTGCCTCACAAAGCTTGTTACTGAAGAATGTTTTCCATTTAGTCATCTTGCAGCTACTTTTTGCAGTGCCATTTGTAGGAGTAGTTTCTTCTCTGTCAACCTTTCCTCCTCAGCATGCCTTCACTTCTTGGGTACGCAGGGCAAGCCTTCCATTGACTCCCTACAGTGCTTTAATAAAGTATAATTGCTTAGGCCTCTGTACTGCCAACAACTGTGCTTTAGAATTCTGCTTCTGAGTCACTGAGTAGAACATGTAATTAGCATAACTCAAGGCAGAACTATGAGCTTTGAAAACTGTAGCCCTTCATGTGTGCATGTGTGCTCATAAAACAATTTATTTCTGTCTCCCAGGAGACCTTCCAACTCAGATAAACAGTCTAGGTCTCTAAAAATTTCATTCATAAACCTTGTTATTCTTCTATGGTCTAAAGAAGCCCTTCCTCTATTTACTACCTCTTTCTGGGAGGTTTGGAAACGTACCAGAAGTGAAGAATGTGTTCAGCTTCAGACTTCCACTACTGTGAAAATCAAAGCCAGGTACAGCTGATTTCCTTGAAGACAGAACATGGGAAATAAAGTAATTTGTAACTGGCGATCTTTTACCTCAGTGATAAGACTCGAGGGTTTCTCTCTCTACCTATGTGAGGTCGGGAAGATATTGTTAGACTGTAGATGTCTGCAGTTCAGGACTGAGTTTCTTCATCTTTCTACCCCAACAACACAATGAACTAAGAATCTTTAAATAAATGGCAGCACTTAGAACAGAGTATTTAGGAATATGTTAGGTCTCAGGTGATTTAAAAGTTTCTTTCTGACCCATTAGAAAACCTAGTGAAGGAACTCAGCTTATTTAGTCTGATGAAAAGAGAATTGACAGACTGATTTAAGTTTCCCAAATGGAATTCTGTTTGAAGGATTTAAATTTAGGAAATCATATGCACTGGAATGTTCCTGGAAAGAAGAGGCTAAGCTTGTAAGAAGTGTCCCAGCATTCAGGATTAAGTGCAAGAAGACATAGCTGCAGACCATGTGAAGCACAGACCCATACCTACTGTGTGCCAGAGATTTGCTTCTCTGGTTTTGTGTCCATAGGTCATCTTGGTTCTCCTTTTCCTTTTGATTCCATTTTGCTAGCACTTCTTGATTTAGTAATGTACTGACCTCTGGTTAGGTTCTTTACTTCCTGTAATTACATTTATGTTTGCTAACTTAGCTCAAAAAGTACTGTCTAGGTTACATTAAATATGAAGTCTCTAAAAGTACATAGTAGGTATTAAGTTACATAGTTAACTACTCAGTATTTGCTATCCAGACAGGGTCTTACAGAATACATTTTACCATGTATGATTCTCTTGCTGCTTAAAAAAAAATTGTTACCTTAACATCAGAAAGGTGGTGTAAAATGCCCAAAGACAGAGCTAATGGAAGTTGTGGTTTACTCCAAAGCAAAATTTCACCAAAAATCCAATAGCTCTTTCACTGCTTAATAATTTCATGTAGGATGGTACCCCCACTTTAATCAACCCCACCACAGCAGCTCTGTGAGAAGGACCCGGTATTCTTTCCTTGATGATTCATTTGTATTTATTCCCTTTATTGCCAGGGACATCTTAGTTTCCTATAGTCTTACATTGTTAATACCAATACATAAAAATTCTACAGTTTGTGTTGAGAAAGAGACTTTGTTTGTGCTGTTTAGCTAGAATCTCTGAGCAAGGGTTTTGCCAGTATTTTATTGCAAGCTTCTCAGGCCAATGTAGCAGGTGGTGTATTGGAAATGAGTTTGTGTTGCATAAGAACAGGACAATATAATTTTTAATGTCTTTTGGGGGGTCAAGCCCAGAATACTGAAATGACCACTGAAGGAGTTCTTAGGAGCTCAGGAAGACTCAGGAATTAGAATTCTCTCCTGCTTATCATTGTCCTAAATTGATGCTTTTGGGAAAATCCTGGTTCTTTCTGAGTCTCAGGTTTGCCATCTATGGAAAGAAGACACTGAGTTATGATTCCAAAAGCCCTTCTACTTCTGACTTTCTGCAGTTTATAAATCTTAAGGTGCTATTCTGCAACTTCTATTCATTGCTGATTTGTACTATTACAAGCTTGTAAAATATTGTGGCAAGTCCTAAAGTTCCCTGGGAGTGTAAGGACAATAATTATGACCTTAGCAGCAGAGGCACATTCTGCTTAGGAAGATTGATTTCATTCATAAACCAAAGAATCTGTAACCCAGAGGATTCTTGTAGATGTCATTACATGCTTAGTATGTGGCGTTGTGACCATACCTAGGGTAACTCACAGAGTTACTAAGGTCATGAAAGATCTCAATACTCTGAAGACTCTCTAAGCCACAGAGATGGAAGTCATGTTATTTTTCAGTATAAGAAAACATAGAAGATGCAAAAAGAGGAATGATTCAGATTCAAATTCAGAATGAGAATTAGAAAGGTAAATGTTATTGGCCCATAAATAACACAATATTAAATGCCAAAAATCAAGACTTCCATGCAGGGCTGTCAGACATTGTGTTCACTGCATTTTTATTCCATTCTGTTAGCTTACAAGGTGTATAAGTTAATAGCATGAAGCAGTTCTGTTCTTATCGGCCTCTACAGCCTGCACAAATGCTCTGAGGACACTTGACAGAAGAGAAGATTGTGATGGACATCAATATTATAAGGTCCAATAAGTCACACTTTAAGTTTTACCTAGGTTTAGATTTATCTTTTTGCGGTTTTTACCTCTGGAGTTCAGGAAAGAGGTATATCTCTGAGAAAGGTCTTTACCATGGTCAACTTGTTTGGTTATTTAGAAATATAGTGCTTCTTGAATTTCATTTTTGAAACTCAGTTGAGATTTTCCAAAGGTAGAATAAGGCACTTATTAGAGAAGCTGTCTTGGCAGATCTTCATCCCCTTCGGATAAAAGCAAACTTACATCCAGTACGTAAATTGACACATGAAGCTGTAAATAATTCCATTGTGCAAGTTGTTTTAATGGACTCAAGCCAAATTGTTCCATTAACCAACATGCATAGAATATTCAAGGAGCTTAGGCTTTATTATCAAAAGAAAAAGAGTAAAGGAAAGTATAGGAGGGTGATGTCAGTATAGCAGCTGAGAAAATGAACCTTACTAGGAAATGTTAGAATCATGCACATTTTTCTTTTCCTCTTTTTGTGAGTGAGATGCAACAGATTAAGTACAGAAATGTTGAGTGTCAGCATTCAAATATAATCATCATAAATCTCAGAACTGGGCAGTAGATGTGCCAGGCTGTCTTCTTTTGTGGCCTTTGTAAGAAGCAGCTTAGGGATCAGTCACTTATGGAATGAGCCTTTCTGCGGGTATAAGGGAGCGTGTGTTTACACACCATTCTACATGGAGAAGCAGTCAGAAACTGTAAACGCATTCCCAAAGGAATCCTTCCTTAATACAGGAAGTGACAGCTTTGTGAAGCCACCCCAATTAAGCTTTGGTTTTTCACTCTAGAAATCCTGGGATTTAATTTCTAGCATAAACGAGACCTCTCTGATGTTTTGTGGGGCTGCTTAGAATTATGGACAACTTAGCTTTAAAGCTTATTCAACACAAAACACCCAAGCTTGGCTTAACCTCCAGGTATCTCTGCTTTCAGAGATGTATAAATCTGCAAAACTTAAGTTCTGATGGACATCGCTAAAAGGAGAGACCACAGAAATGAGTTTCATAATTTCATGTAGCCACACTGCCCTGCTGTGACTTCTCTCTATTTGTAAACTGACTCTTGCCCTGCATTGTATTTGCCACATGTCTGAACTTGGGTACCCTCCTACATGCTGTGGAAGAGGACTCTTACTCTGATGGGAATGGAAGGTCACAGTCTCTCTACAAACACTGGCATGTCCATTGTCACAGTTCTACTGAATATAATATGTGCAGAGAATAGAGGACCATCACAGAAACTAAAGTGACTGAGTTGAGAAACTGGGCATTTTGAACTGGTCACCATCCCTTTCACGTACCATACATATGTCCTACAATTTGGAAAGTCCTTAGTCTCTTCAGTCAGTGCTTACTTCTGTTTGCTGTTTTGTAGAAACTGCCACTATTGATTGTCATGTTATCTGCTTCGTTTTTGAGACCGTCTCCTTCTTTGATTCCCTGTCCTGATCCCATCTCTTTGATACCTCTGAGTTTTTTAAACTCCTACTACCAGAACATCAGCATGAAGTTAACATGCATCTTTCCAGTTCTCTCCACTGTCCCAAGCATCAGACTCACATTTTCATGTGAAATTCTCAACAGCACTTCCAACTCACTCCATGAAAACAGTGCAATCAATGTTTTTTCCTTCACTTCCTAAATTCTGTTGAACAATTCAACTTGATGGGCAGTCATGCTTTTATCTCAGTAGCAGTGTGAGGTCTAATGGAAGTATTATACTCCTTTTCCACCCAGTTTGTTTAAATCGGATGGAAATGACTACTAATGAAGAACTCTTTCTCTTAGGAGACCAGGAGAAGGCCTTAGGATCTACTGGGGGAGTTCAGAGGAGCAGTCTTTCCTGTCCCGCTGGAACCCATGGTCCACGGCAGTTCCTTATGCCACCTTCACCGAGCACCCTATGGTTTACACCAGTGAGAAGTTCCTCACGCTTTGCAAGGTAGGAGGCAGCTTGAACATTACTCTTAGATCAGTTGTGTTGATGAAGCTGAGTGTTTCTAGAAGGTGTATCATTTAAAAAATTGCAACCAAGACTTCTATAGAGAAACACTTTAATAGGTTTATAGAAATGTTATAGTAAGGAGTGCAGCTATTTTTATATGTGAATATATGTCATGTTTATATTAATCACAATATGCTATTTTCTTTCCCCTTTACATGTAATATTGTTCAAAAATTGCAACACTTAGGCTTGTCCGATTGTATTTATTGGCAACTGGGTATACAAAAGTTTTCATAGATTTAAATCTGAATTATTTTATTCTGAGAAGAAATATGAAATAATGTAAAGTATGAAAGTGTGTTTATCCAGAAATGGCTCTGAAGCCAAGTTTAATTAACTCAGTTCTCTCTTTGGGCTTTGGTAGTCTTATCTCTAAAATCTAAGATGGGCAAGGTGACCTCACTGTCTTACTACTGTAAGGTTAAATGGGATAACGTGACAATGAACATTTCATACAGTGTAGAGCAATTGTTATTATTTCTTATCTTCAAATCTCTTAAAGTAGATTTTAAACTCACTGGGGCATCGCAATCCCTTCTACTGTTCTCTTATTTCTTCCACGTATTTAGTTAGAGAAGAGATACTCTAACTTGTCTGAAAATAAAACAATCTGAACAAATATTTTGAAGATAACAATGCAGAATAATTGACTATTGTTAATCTCATATTATCTTGTTTTGAAACTCTGTATAATCATTTTTATTATTTTTTCTCTTTAAAATAGAATAAAATAAGCAAAAAAAGAAACTATACTTACAGTGTGTACTATAGGGTTCAAATGCTAAATTTTTGTTTTTTTGTGTTTCTCTTCTGTCATTTATTTCATATTACAACTCATTTGTTGAATATAAATTCAAAAGTTGGCAATATGTATGTAAATTATTTCTTTGATTGGATGGTAATCATTGCATTTCTTCCATTATTTTAAATATATCTATTCACATAAGCATATAGGTTCATGTGTGCAAAAAATAATATTTAATTGGTGAGTCTCCAGAATCTGAGCAACAATTTATGTGATTAGAGGCTAAATAAGGTCTTAATTTCTCTCAGAATGTAGGTGAAGTTGGCTTAAATATATTCTACTCCTAGGAAAAATCAGTAGTCTCTTAAAATATATACAGATATCCTCAGGGGCTTATATGGTATCATGATTTACCTCTGTTTTTAGTTATTGCAGACACAAAATAATTTTGGTATACAGATCATGTTGCTACATCTCATGTGATACTTCCATATCACAATCCCTCAACCAAAGCATCAACATCAGCTTATACCCCAAACCAACAAAATGAAACAAAATGAAAACGAAGAAGAAAAGTATTACACTTGCACAAAGGCATTTATGTAAGGTTAGACTTACTGAGGGTGTCACTTAATAGAATGCGAGTTTTTATTATACTAATGCCCTTAACTGCCAAAGCCATATCAAATCTCCCTATCTTTAAAAGTCTCTATTACTACTAATAATATTCATTCTCATCCTTCTATTGTCTTTTCTTTTATTGTCTGGTTGCCCCTCCCCAAACTTTTGTTTTTTAAAGAAAAATGTTATTGATAATGCAGTTTATATCTTTTTATTTTTATCTTTTTTTTAAAAAAACAGAAGAACAAAAACGATGATACAGAATTTCAAAACAAAATAGTAGAAAATTAACACTGGTTAATATATTGCGTATTGTTATCTTCAAAGTAGTTGCTCTGATTGCAAGATCTGTATCTTATCTACATCATGAAAAAATGATCAAACAATCAAACACTGAAAGGGCAAACTGTTCTTTTTAATGAACCAACAGAGTAGCATAGTTATTGATCTTGTATATATATTAATATATATGCAGCCATATAATCTTTTTCCTTCTTTTTTCCTTTCCCTTATTTCAGTTGTTCTTTCCATCTGAGCATTTTCCTCTTTAAATGTCTGTTAATCCAAATCAAAGTGCCTAGTAATGTATTTTTTTCAGAGATGATTCTCTCCTTCAAAGGAAACCTGATTTTAACTAGTAAAATAATGTTTTATGTAATTTTATGTAATTTTGATAAAACTTTGTTTCATTATAAATCAAAGTAAATTCTTACTGCCTTATTCATGATTACATCCATGACTTCCTCAGCCAAGTCCTTTGTTCGTTGTACCTGGAACACTAGGTAGGTACTTACTGTATTTCCTTGGTGAGCTTTGCTGGAAGAAGGTCAGGGTGTCAGAGTAAAGAGCAAATTCTATGGACTTGAGAGAAATGTCGCAGTCATAGTCTAATACCTGGTAGTGTTTTACTTATTCTGTTATATATAAATATATTTACATAATTTAAAAAAGAAAATGAAAAGTAAAATATCAAAGGAGTACAAAATAATCATTCCACATGTAATCGTGAACTTAGCTGACTAGAGTGCTGAGTTTTACCTTACTAATTCCACTCTCAAAGGTTAAAGGGAAATGATGGCCTTATAGCTTTAATGGAATAGAAGTAAAAATAGCAAGTGTGTGTGTGTGTGTGTGTGTGTGTGTGTGTGTGTGTGTGTGTGTGTGTCTGTCTGTCTGTCTGTCTGCACATGCATACACTCATGAACGTGACAAATGGTTGGTTAATTGGTTGATTGATTTTTAGTCAACTAAACTTTGTGGATCTGTGAAGTGTTTCATGTAAGACTTTTTCTCCTTAAATTATTAATCCAAAGCTTTGGTTTTTTTCCATCTTGGCAGAAGTCTAGTGCTTTCATTTGCCAAGCTGATTCTTATTCAAAGGCCACCTCAAGTCCCAGCCCCTAAGAAAACAAATGATCTTCATTTGTGATATGGGATGATGAGTACTTTGATCCAGTTCTTTAAGTCCTAGCTTCTCTTTGTTGTTGGTATCTCTGTCACAGTATTATTTGTGTTTAGGATATAGTCCAAGATGGGCTTTGATTGTCTCAATTATTTTGATATAAAATAATATATAGGAAGAAAGACAATTTAGGGATTTAAACTTCCTTTTATGTGACTATTCCCACATAACATAAGATTTTAAAAGGGTGTTATAAATTGTTTTTTTTTTCATTTCTCTTTTGAATGAAATAGGAAAATAAAGGGATATGGAAGAAATGCATAACAGAATCAAATTTCGGCTGCAATTTATTTCAATTTAACAACCTCATTATACAACAAGAGAGAGAATAATGTGGAATTGTGTGACCCAATAGGAAAATTTTCTGATTATTTACAATCTAATGGAATAACTTAATATTAAAATATTCAAACATTTTTACCCAGCATCTTTTTTTCTGCAGCACCTATAGTCTCTTTATTAACAAATCCTTTCTGACATCTACAAAATGCAGGTATTATGGCTGTTGCTAAGGATACAAATATAAATGAGACAAGACTCTTGAATTTGTGCAAGGTGCTCTTCACCAAAGGGGGCAGATAAAAACACAAAGATTTTAAAATTGACTGAAACAGAAGTTTAGAGAAAGTGGAAAGGAATACAGGTATGTGAAAGTATATAATGTTCAAAAGACAGTAATTCAGTTCGGCTGGAGCTTAATCTTATAAAGTCCCTCACTATAATTATAATAACTTAGATAAGAGATATGAAAACCTAAACTAAGTTGAGAACTGTAATAGAGAGAGAATGTAAGGATGTTTTGTGCTTGGAATTAATTAAATCAGATAATAATATCATATAAAGTATTTGGAAGAAAAATGATTTCTGGCTTGAGCCGATGGTAAATTCATTAAATGCAATGGAAAACATGGGAATAATAGTATATTTGGTAATTTGTTTTAGATTAGTTTAGGACAGGTTAAGTATGAAGCATTCATAGAAGGTGAGCTTGAGTTGATGGTCAGGTAGTAACAAATTTAGGTCTAAAATTCAGCAGAGAAAGCTGAACTGGTGATAGTAGGTTTCAGATCATCTGGCATCAGGCTAAAGCTGACATCTGGGCTCCTTAGTCAGGAACATAATCCAGGAAGGGGTGTCAGTGGACATGGTTGCATTCTAATTGAAATATTTACTATCGTTAAGTCCCTTACTACTGAGCTATATGATCAGTATCAAATTTATATAATGAGGTCAACATATATTATTTCTCTTTTTATTCATCATATCAACTTTATACCATTTACACATTTGGCAAGTATGGTAGTCACATGGCGTCTTTCCAGACTTATCTCCCAGCCTAACCTATCTTTTCTGATCTGAACATATACATACTTTGTGTTAGTCATATAAAACAGATGTCACTGTTGTATAACAAAATACTTTATATTTGTTGATTATAGTGTGAATGATATTTTTATTGAATTCAACTCACAAAAACTTTGTAGGAATAGGGTAGCTATCTTCCTTTTAAAAATTATAATGATTGGTGCAGTTTTACCCGCTGTATCTGCCAGCACTATTTTCTTGCATGGTGGCTGCTCTATAAGGAGGTAAGAAAAGGATAGGCAGAGTGGGGCTGGCATTTTTATCTCTAGCTTTCAAAGCTGATTATTTTCCAGCTAGGTATTATTTTGAGGGAAAGATGATAGCTATATATCCACATCTAGTTTGCTATTACACAGGGAGATAAGCAGAAGCTTGAACGAATTTTCTCTCTCTCTCTTTCTCTCTCTTTTTCTCTCTCTCTCTCTCATTCTCTCTCTCTTTGTGAGAGAGACTGTATATTCACATCCAACTTTATGGTCATAAATGACACATATTACAATCAATCTCAGGTCTCCTTAGGTGTTTCAACCATTTAACCATTTTACATTGGCAACCTTTAGCATGTTTTTAGCCTCGTCTTTATCTGTTTTAAGCATCACTTTTCTGAGTTGTAGAATATGGGGAGGTTAAGCTAGGAATCAGGTGACCTGAACCTAAAGCTGGTGAAACATGGTAAATGGATTAGGGATGCTTTACAGAAATTCAAAGGAACCCACAGAGTGATGTTTTATACCAATATTTTCA